CCGTCCCACCTGGTGTGTGTCCCCCCGTCCCACCTGCTGTCCCCCCCCGTCCCACCTGGTGTGTGTCCCCCCGTCCCCCCCGCTGTCCCCCCACGTCCCCCCCGGTGTGCCGCCGCCCGCCGTCGTCCCTCAGCGCCGCCAGATCCACCTCCGCCCGGCCCAGGAACTTGTCCGCGCCGGTGAGGGCGCGGTGCAGGACGGTGAGGCGGAGCGCGGGCCGCGGCGGCAGCTCGAACGTGGCCTCCTCCCGCCACAGCGGCTCCCCCCGGCACCGCTCGGCCACCGACGTGCGGAACTTGTCGCGGCCCAGCGCCATCACCGCGTACGCGTCGCTGCCGCCGCCGCCCGCCGCCTTGGAGCGCAGCCCCCGCGCCCGCAGCACCGTCACCCGCGCGTGGGTGGGCGCCCAGCCCGGGGCCGCCATGGCGGGAGCGGGGCCGGGACGGGGCCGGGACGGGAGCGCGGTGGGAAGGGGACCGGGAGAGGGAGAGGGAGCGGAGCCGCCCGGTGCGCCCGCCCCGCCCCTCTCGCGAGAGTACGGGGTGGGCGGGGACTGGGAGGGGCGGGGCGCGAGTCATACAGGTGTGCGCAGGTGTGCGCAGGTGTGTACAGGTGTGCGCAGGTATCGGTACAGGGATGCAGGGATGTGCATATGTACAAGTGTGTGACGTTACTGGTGCGCTCAGGTATTTTTGTGTCCAGGTGTATGGATGTACAGGTGTGTACAGGTGTGCGCAGGTATCGGTACAGGGATGCAGGGATGTGCATGTGTACAGGTGTGTGAGGTTAAAGGTGCGCTCAGGTATTTTTGTGTCCAGGTGTATGGATGTACAGGTGTGTACAGGTGTGTGTAGGTGTCGGTACAGGGATGCAGGGATGTGCATATGTACAGGTGTGTGACGTTACAAGTGCACTCAGGTATTTTCGTGTACAGGTGTGCACAGGTGTGCACAGGTGTCAGTACAGGCGCGCGGGGATGTACAGGTGTATGTACTGGGATGTGCATATGTACAGGTGTGTGACATGTTAAAGTCACATGTACAGGTGCGTGAATGTACAGGTGTGTACAGGGGATGTGCATGTACGCACGGGTGCATGAATGGGCATGTGTGTATGTACAGGTGTGTACAGGTGTGTGTAGGTACAGGTGTGTGTGTGGCTTTGTGCAGGGGCAGAGCTGCACGTGTCTGCACAGGGCCGGGTGTGGGTGTTTCAGGGGTGCAGAGGTGCCTGTGAGCACAGCCAGGTGCGTGTCCAGGGGTCCAGGTGAGGGGGGCTGTGGGGTACCAGTGCATGCAGGGGTGTGTGAGGCTGAGCAGGCCAACCTGTGCTGGCACTGGCTCCATCCCTTTACCTGTTTGCTCCGAAAAGTCAATCTCACAGGAGAAATGCCACTTCCAAAACATGGAACTCATTTAATGCCCCCTTCCCACACTCCCACAGCCCTTTCCTTTCGCTAACACGGAATAATGACAGGAGGGGTCCTGAGGGGCTGGGCACAGAGCTTTGCTCCCTCCTCCCACCTCACCCCATCCCCTCTGCTCCCAGCAGCAGGGAAGGCTCTGCCATGGAGGGTCCGGGCAGGGGGACCCCGGGCTCAGAGCACTCCACCAGCAGCCCCGCAGCCCTTGGCGGGGCGGATCCTCCTCTTGCAGGCGAAGATCCTGCGGAGCTCCGTGCGGAAGCGGTGGTGGAGCCAGGCGTAGAGGAAGGGGTTGCAGCAGGAGGAGCTCATGGCGCACCAGTGGCACAGCAGCTGGATGAGCAGGAAGTGGCGCTTGTCGATGAGGTGGATGTCGATGTCCCGGAGGACGTTGAAGACGTGGATGGGGAGCCAGCAGACGCCGAAGGCCAACACCACCAGCACGATGAGGCGGAAGGTCTTCCTCTTCCTCAGGCGGTCGAACTCGGCCTGGCTCTGCGTGGGGTGTCCGGGCACCACCCGGTTCCGCAGCCTCACCGAGATGCACAGGTAGGAGAGGGACACGGCGGAGAGCGGCAGGATGTAGGTGAGGATCAGGGTGCTGTAGGCGTAGGCCAGGCGCTGCGTCTCCTTCTCCACCCAGAACTCCTCGCAGATGGTGAATCCCTCCTGCCGGAACTCCACGTGGTACGTGTGGGCCACGGCAGGGGCCACCAGCCCGCAGGACAGCAGCCAGATGCCCCCCACCACCGAGACGCAGCTGGTGACAGAGATGCGCCTCCTCAGGGGGTGCAGGGTGGCATAGTACCTGTGGGGAGACACACGGGGAGCCCGAGCCCTCGGGAGCCCCCCGGAGCATCCCCCTGCAGCCCGGGGTGCTCTGGGCTCTGCTGAAGAGCAGAACACCAGCACTCCTGGGGATGTTCTGAGCCCCCAAGGGCAGCACGGCTGCACCAGCACTCCAGGCTTCCTCTGCTGTTCCACCCAAACCTTCTTTTTTTATTATTTTTCTTTTTATTTTTTCCCCTTCCCCTCCTGGTCCTGCCCCACTCCCCACAAGGCAGAGGTGAACCAGCATAAGAGGCATTGCCTCTGTCCCCTCAGCATTTGGATCATCTCTGATGAGAGGAGATCTTTACGGAAACACAAATTTTATTAATCCCCTAACCCAGCACACTTCATGTGGCACAAACACTCTCCACCCCAGGGCCAGGACGCACGAGATCTGGGCACAAATTTACCCAAAGTAGGAAAACCAGGGTGCAAACTCCAATGAGCCCTTGTGCCAGGAGCACGGATTGGGATTTCAGTGGTGACGGCTTCGCACAGGGACACGGAACTGCACAGCATTGTTTGCTAATGCCAAACGTCCCCCCTGCGCATCCTCCCCCCAGACCGAGTCCTGGTGCTAAAGAAAAGGCTGCAGGGATACTCTCAGGGAATCCTCGGGGATTTTCCTTTTCCAGTTTTGAGTGTTTGTCAGTAAACACCCTGAGCTGAGGGAGCAACAACCTGAGGGGACAAGAGGGGAGAGACACCTGCCGGCACTTACCTGTCAACTGCGATGGCCGTGAGTGTGAAGACGGAGACGTAGACGGTCATGGGCTGCATCAGGAAGACAAAGTAGCACAAAAACTTCCCGAAAACCCAGCCCTGGGGGTTGAAGGCGTAGGCCAGGGTGAAGGGCACGCACGTGGCGCACATCAGCATGTCGGAGAACGCCAGGTTCCCGATGAAGAAGTTGGTGACGTTGTGCATCTTCTTGCTCCTGCAGATGACGTAGAGGAGCAGATAGTTGCCGAAGATGCCGACGAGGACGACCAGGGCGTAGCAGGGGATGATGAGGGGTTTGAAGGACTGGATGAGCTGCACCCCGGTGAACTGGGCGCTGGCGTTGGAGCGGTTCTGCAGGGCCAGCTCGTAGGTGGTGACGTTGGCCCCGTCCCCCTCCATGGCTGTGGCTGAGCCCCTCTGTGTGCAGGCAGGTGAGAAACCCCCCGTCTCAGCACTCCAAAATTTAACAGCTGCAGGGTTCAGGTGTCCACAGGGCACGTCCTGCTCCTCATCACAGCACAGGACCCTGCCTGGCACCCGGGGAGGCTCCTCAGGAGAGCAGCTTCATCCCATGGGAAAAGGAAAACCGGACTCAGACAAGGAGCATTGCCACAAGGAGCCCTGCAGGAGGGATGCCAGCCCTGGGGTCACAGTGATCACAGATCAGGGAGGGAGAGGAAAAGGAGAAAAGCAGCAGGACCCCAGGCTGTAGGGAAGGACTTACCAAATGTGGGCTCATCCCCACCCCTTTAACTGAAGCGTCCGCAGCAATCCTGCCCCAGCCCGGCAGCACCGAGGGGCATCTGCCGGCCGGAGGGAAGGGGAAGCAGCAGCTGAGCCAGAAAACAGCTCCCAGTGTTTCTGGAAATGACAAAGGACGTTAATGGATAAGTGAATAAAGGCGCTCTGTGACTCCTGCGCTGCCTCGTGCGCCTGCAGCCGCTCGCCCAGCCCCGAGCAGGTGAGCTGGGCTCTCCTGCAGCACCGAGCCTGTGGGGCCACTGGGACTCTCCACCGGGGTGTTTCACAGACCCTGTTGTGGTCCTGCCAAAAGCGAGGTCCAGGTTTTCGTGGCACCAGCCATGAAGGGGACGAGATGGGATAGGGGCAAGGAGGGAACCCAGGGGCAAAAATGAGACCAGCCCTGGGAGACGGGTCCCTGCCACCCTGGGCTGCTTCCCACAGACAGCTGGGAGCACAGGCAGCACCTTTCCTCACCACCACCACTCACCTCCGGACCCCTGCCCGGTACAGCCCTCGTCCCTCAGCTGCTCCCACTCCCTCTGCCCCTCCTTCTCTCCTGCACTGAGTCATCTCATCACCCGCTGCTCTTCAACTCTCATTTCCTGGGCTATTTCCATAGATTATCTCCGGCTCTCTCCCAGCACAGGACTTGCCCCCCTGTTTATTTCTCTCTGTACCAGACGTTGTTTCACCCTTAAGCCCTCACGTACCTGATCCACGAGGACTGAAGCTCACGTGGCAGATTTTGGAAGCCCCAGATGGAGAGCTGCCCCAGCCACACTTTCATTACATGTCCCAGCAGCCCCTCAAAAGCTTCACACTCCAAACTTGAATTAATTGGGTTTTCAAACCGACTCCCTCACACCCTGTCTGCTTCATCCCTGAGACGCACTCAGAGGCAGACTCGGAATAAAGTCCCTCTGGTCAAGTGTTTGCTGCTGAATCAAAGTGACACAACCAACCAGCCCTCTTCTTTGTTCTGCTCAGGGAGGGACTTTGCCAGGCAAGCATCAGCAGGAAAAAATTCCCCCCATAAAAAAATTACTGTGTGCAGGAGCCTCCTCCAAGACACATCCTCAGCCCCCATCTCAACTGGGGGAAGTTTGACTTCAATTTATTGCAATTAAAACAATCACTATGTTAACTATCATGGCATGGGTGTTGAAACAGTGGAAAATGTAAATATTTCAAAGGCATTCAGGGAAATGCTTCCTCCTGCCCTTTCTTTGCTTGGATAACGGGGGGCTCAACTGGACACCCGAGGACTTTATTGGAGTGCTCAAGTTTCACTATTTAACCCTCACGTGATTAATTGGGTGCTCATGGGTGAGCTGATGGGGTGCTCATGCATCAAATAATTGGTCACTTATGCACAAAAGGGCATTCCTGCATTTATTAATTGGAATTTGCTGGTGCAAAAAGGCAGGAGAGGCCAAGCTGTGCCTGGGGGAGCTGAGGGGACCAGCCCCAAGCAGGGGGAGGCACGAACAGCTGTGCCCAGGGTCTCACCCGGCTCATTTCAGGCTTTGGGGTGAGGCTGGGAATGTCTGGAGGACAGTGGCTGCCACGTGCCACCCTCACAGTGGGGTGACATCCCTGCCCTGGGTGGGCACAGCACCAGCCCCACACTGTGTGCCGGGGGGTCATATCCTGCACTGGGGGCTCAGTGCCTCCGTGGGCAGGGGTGCAGCCCCACCCGCTCAGTTGGTGCCTGTTTGGTCTCCATGGCATTGAGACTTGGCCATTAATTACCTGGCAGTTGCCATGGTTATGCCAAAGCCCTCCTGGAGACGCTGTCGGGCAGGATGGGGTGGACGTGCCGCTGCCAGGGACTGTGGGAAGGGGGACCAGGGCATCCTCCCAAAGCACCCACCCTTCCTGCTGCTGGGGCTCCACCAGCTCCCACAGGGTCTCTGTGCTGTCCCACAGCCCAGGATCCAGCCCAGGGCTTGCAGCTGGGTGAGGTGACAGCTCTGGCTCCCTCAGCTCAGCTCTGGCATTTTCTGTTACAAGTTGGGAAAAATCAAAACCCAGAGCCACGTGCTCCCTTCCCAGCCCATCCTCCTGCAGGTCCAGGGCTCCCCTTGAACTCAGCCTCCCTGCCAGCTAGTGGCAGGCATAGAATGGATTTGGGCAATTTTCTCAATTAGGAGTTCTAATGACATTATTTCAGCAGCTGCATTTCCCTGCACTGCCATGAAGGACTCGGTCCTGTTGATCCCAACAGGCACGCTGGAGAGATTCCTCCTGGAACAAAAGGACCATTAGCCGGGAGCTGGCAGGATAACTCGTGCCAGGGCTGTGCAGGGCATTGTGTCCTACCTGAGGAGGCAGAGCCACAGCACAGTGCAGCCTTCCTCCTCCAGACATGCTGGAGCTGGGAGAGGCCCCAAGCCCCCTGTGCTGGCAGCAGCCCACAGCTCCCCAGGGGCTACTCAATGGGACCTCTGACCAGCCCAGCATCACAGAGGCACACGTGGAATAGGTTTTCCCAAGAGGAGGCAGGGAGGGAGGGACAGGAGAGCAGGTGACACGGGAGCACCAGAGCACAGTCCAGACTGACTCCAGGGTATCTGCACTTCCTATTATTATCACAATAAAAGGGGGGGGAAAAAGCATTTCTGCAAACATGGGAGGAATGGAGGGGGCCAGGAGAGGAGGCAAGGAATGACACTCAAAGCCCAGACAGTCTGTGTTCCTCTGCAAGGATCTGTTGCATTTGGCACAGGGCACTGGCAGCTCCTGGCAAGGGGTGTCCCCACCGTCACACCAGCTCCACTCAGACCTCTCTGAGCTGCCCCTGTTCTATGATTTCCCATCATCATCCTCATCTCCCACATCTTCCTCCAAGAGCTCTTCCTCCTCGGCTTCAGAGCTGGCATCATCTTGCACTGGGGAGAGAAGAGGCAGGGCTGCAGCAGGGGTGGCCCTGACCCCCCGAGGGGAGTGAAAAATCCCACCCCACGAGTGGCAACACGGACACCCTCCCACCCCACAGCAGCAGAGCAGGGAAACTGGCACAGACCCCCTTGCCCAGCCCACAGCTGCCAGCAAGCACCAGCTGCCCCCTGAGTAGCCCTCCCTGCAACCCTGGGGCAAAGCAGGGAGCACGAGCTGCCACAAAAGCTGCCGTGGGACCCCACGTGCCCACCCTGACCCCGCAGCTCGGTGACACTCACGGGTGACACGCTGCCCACTGAGATAGACTGGCCCAGCCCCACACTGGAGCACGAAGGTGACGGGAGGGACCAGCTCCAGAGCTTTGAGGCTGATCTGCAAAGAGACAGAGCTCAGAGACAACCCCCCCGCCGAGCCCAGCCCGAGGTGATGTTGTCATCCCAGAGGCAGGGGCTGCCCTTACCATGGGCAGCACCGAGCTCCGCAGCGCCGCGATGGGCACCGGCCTGTGCTCCCCGGAGGCGTTTTTGGAGTCCACAGCCACCACGTGCAGCTCGTCCCTGGCGTCAGCACCCAGGCAGATCTGCGGGGCCGAGCAGAGAGCCCGTGGCAGGGAGCCCGTGGCAGGGAG